AAGGTAAACAAACTGTTTTCTTTGCTATAAGATTTTTGCTGACTACTTTTTGGTAATCCTTCTTTGGCAGATCGCACACAAAACACGAACTTTTTTCCGGGGTACCTGATTATCTCGTTTACTACAGTCAACAAGATATTTACTGCTGGTAATATTTTTTTTCTTTCAAAAATGTATTCTATTTACATTATTCAGACTCTTGTCCTTATCTTTGTCGCCATATTTATGACAACATTTTGGCTGTTGTATGCTCTAGCCTTCTTCAGGTGGTTAGAATGTCAAACTAAACCCTTTATTTCGCTCACTGGGGTAGACTGTTCTAGTTCCACATGCCATGTTTTTAATGGATGTCAGTTGCCTGATATCTCCTGTTAATTCCCCTCTCCAAGTTCTCCACTGCCTTAACCGGGTATTGAACTCACATTCTTTGGGTCCTGTCACTGGATCTAACTAACGCCTTTATCCACTGTGCCATGGATCCTGCTGGTAATAATTTTTTCCAAAAATGTATTGCTGGTATTAAAACCCATTTTTACACTTTCATAGTATTTTGACCCCAGTTTGGGGGTTAACTATTTGCCTATAGTTGGGACCCTAATGGGTACTACCACCTCAGGTCAGGATGGACCTGGGAACACCAGCAATTAAGAGGTGGTTCCACATTCATCAAAACCTCCTGAACAGAGACCTTGCTGCTGGATGTAGTTTATTGTCTTACCCAGGACAAGCAAGCAAGTACAAAAATCTAAATATTTAGGAAGGAAAACTGCAGAAACTCATAGAAAAGTTAGAAAAGGAAAGCAGGAAGAAAGGGATAAACCTTAGTTGTAAGAAGACAGAATGTATTGTTATCAGCAAGAGAAAAGGTGGAAACTATGAGTTGGAGATGGCAAAATCAAACAAGTACAGAAGGTCAAATATTTGGGAAGTGATATTTCAACTTCTCCCTAATATTTTTTCACCCTTCTTTCTATGCCTCCTTTCTCTTTTTTCTATACCCCACTGCAGTGAGATATTTACCTAGCTATAGATATGTTATGACACACCACAATCTTTCAACCTTGAAAATCAGTATTTAAAATTCTGGTGGTTTTTTGGGGTTTTTTTTTACCTGAACTGAAATGATACATCATCTTTTTATTTCTTTCTTGATTCTAACTTTCTAAGTTATTCCTTCCAGACAACAACAATGCCACTACCTGTCAGCAGAAAAGGAGAGAGAGAGAGAGAGAGAGAGAAAGGAAGGTTACCTCATATCTCAAAGAACCAAGAATATCTGACAGATTTCCACTAGAAGCAGATTTCCTTTCACTTTCCTTAACATTCATTGATTCCTAGATATTCCAGTTTGCCGCATGTCGATAGGAAAAATTTCCACTTTCAACACTTTTTTTAAATTCAATTCTCAAATTTAAAAAAAAAAAAAAATCAATATTATGATTATCTAAGACTTTAATATTTGTTTGTTTTATGGCATATCAACCCACGGGATCATTTAATGCTGACATTTATAATTTTCCTATTGTTGGTAATTTTACTATAAATATGTATTTTTATACTTTCATAGTGTTTTGACTTTGTTTGGAGTTTCACTATTTACCCATGGCTGGGACCCTAACAGGTGCTACTACCACAGGTTAAAATGGGTCTGAGAACAACAACAAAAGATCCTCAAAACCTTCAATCTCTCAAACAGAGACCTTTCTGCCAGATGTAGTTTATCATCATACCCAGAACTAATTTAACATGGGCTGCACTGGGGGTATTTTTTCCAATACTACAATATGCAGCAAAGTGTCTCGGTATCCTTGTGTGTGAAAAATTATTTTCCATCCTACAATTCCTTTCTCACAGACTGAAACTGTTAATAAAGAATTGTTTTTTAAACCTTTTACCCTGTTTGATATTTAAATTTAACATTAAATGAATTATTTATTGAATTTTTAATTGCATATAACTACAGTGGTAATTACCTGTTACTTCAGGTTGCATATGATTTGCTGAGATCGAATAACAGATGGACACTGGACACATACTCTGCACTTTATTTATATAGGTTTCCATTCACGCATTTATTCTTATCATTTATTCTTATCATTTTATCTTTTGCTGCTTTATCACTATCTCTATGGAAAATGTTTAGACAAACTACCTTTTTTAATTCTACCTGCTCTAAGATTCATATCCGAGACCTGCTATGCCACGCTCAGTGTAGCGAACTACCCTCATTCCCTTTTTATTCCATTTGTGAGATGTAAATTCCACTTGAGCAGTTCCTTACCACAAATACCTGCTTTGTAGAACCAACTCCCAAGAGGATGCTTCCCCAATCACTACAATCTTAACCTGTTCAAGTCAAGGGTTAACTTTTATCTTCTCCACATATCCACATAAACTGTGCCTCTTACTCTGTAACCCTCTATCTGCTTTGTGAAACTGACTCCCAATAGTATGCTTCCCCAATCACTATATCTTAACCTGTGCAAGCTTAGGGTTAACTGTTATCTTCCCTACATCTCCCCATAAACTGTGCCTCTTACTCTGTAACCCCCTATCTGCTTTGTGGAATCGACTCCCAAGAGGATGCTTCCCCAATCACTTCAATCTTAACCTGTTCAACAGATTGAAACTCTCCTATGGATGGCACCCAACTCATTCAGAAATATCTAAACTGTCAGCTGTCTATGTCCCTCTGTGCAGGTTGATTCTTTGACACAAACAGAGAGAGAGAGAGTGAGTGAGTGAGTGTAGTGAAAATGAAATGCAGCTAGAGCAGCCAGTCACTACTGAAAACAGTACCTGTCCCTGTCAGTCAAAGAGACAACGTTTAGTGTGCTGTCCCTGCAGAAAAACAGTACATGGCTGCCCTGCCAGAACAAGAGCCAGTGCAAACCCCAGAACATCTGGTTATGAAGAAAGAAAACTTACCAGCTTCCCCATGAGATAGTCAGGACAGTGTTAACTATGCAAATGATTCCTTTGCTAGCCAACTTCTAAAGTTTTTGGCTCCATAAAAACAGGCACATTTTCTGGGAAGTCAGAACTTGGCAGTAGACCATGTTGAATGCACAGTGGGATTGCCGTGTATTACCAAGAATTTTTGTTCATGTTACCTAATGTGGTCTCAAAATCGTTCATCCTTTTTTTGTGTTTCCAGTATTTTGGTTGAGTTTGTCCTGTATATGTGATGTTCCCATGTGGTAGTCTTATCTGCGCTCTGCTTGTTGTGATACAATGTTTGATTCTGGTGCTGCTGAGATTTCCATTCCTCTTCATTGACAGCTGACCAATAAGAAAAAATCAACTTCAGAGAGAGAGAAAGTCTTCAAAACAGATTCACTATCAAGGAAAGAAAAGTAACTCACTCTGATACTATAAATTGTGATACACACTGTCCACAGTGGATTCTTCTGGACAGTCTCCCTGTTTAACTTACTGAATGCCGCCTTAATATTTGCCTTCATTTCATCTTTCTTATTACAAGGAGTTTTGTTGATCTCTTGCTCAACTGCACCCCACACATAATAATCAAGGGGTTGCAGTCTGGGGAGTTAAGTGGCCAGATGTAAGGGGTGATATGATCACAAAAATTGTCTGACAGCTTGTGTGGCATGGTGCAAAATCCTGTGGCCAGACATAGTATCTTCCAGCAGTCACCCAAGGCAGCACTCAAGACACTTGATATTGAGCTTGAGGCCCTCATCAACAATTTTGTGAGTTCTTTTCTTCTCAGAACAATCAGAGTAAGTTTTCCAAGCTGCCATAGTTTCATAAGCACCATTAGACTCATCCAACTCTTTTCAAATCCTTTGCAATGTCCTCAAACACTCTGAAATGTTTGTATTGGAGCTTCCAGTGCAAATTCCAAGCAGTACAGCATGCCATTTTAAAATTTTTGGCAGAGTGAATTTCATCATGGTGCTCTTTTTCTTACAGATGGTGCCCAACTGACCCTACTATACTGTGCAGTTGACAAAATCAAAAACAAACAAACATGCAAACATGTTGCAAGTAAGTCTTCCCATTATTACAGCCTTTATAATTATCTCCTTTCTGGTTTTTCCAAATATTTCTCTTCCCTAAAACTGTCCATATGGCCCAGTCTTTATTTCAAGTTATCAAGCTAAGGAATAGATTCTAACACATGAGAAACAATAACCTTCATAAACTGATTTCTATTTGAGGAGTAATTTTCAATGTCAATTGCCAGATTTACAAAATCAGGAATGTCTTTATTTTTTTTTTTGTAATCATTTCATCCCAAACAAGGAAATAATGCCACTAAGACACAAAAGGATTACTAGAAGTGAAAGACGACGAAATTTTTAGTGAAGAGAAAGGACAATGAAAGAAGAGGCTTCAGGATTGACGTTGCACTTAAATTTTTGTAGATTGTCGGTGGCAGAGAAGAAAGAAATCAGAAGAGAGTTCTACAGGTGAGAAGTGCAAGAAAAGAAACTATTAGAATTATAAAATTAAAAATATAAAATGATGACAATTCACACTACATGGATTAGTGAGAAGGAAGAGAAAAGAACATTTTTTATATCAACTGATCAATATCAACACAGGTGAATATACACCTGAGAAAGTACGGAGGGTGCAACAACCAAAACAACATTGTGATAACAACAAAAATGAAGACAACAGCCTAAATGTAAAAAACATAAATAATGATAACTCATAATCCCAGAAATTAGACAGAAAATACGAAGATAATTTTTCAAATATTATTGATTAAATTTTTATGGCTTATCAACCCTTTGCAGGTTATTTAAAGCCATATTTTTAAGTTGTAAGAATGTTTCTTGTTTTGGAGATAAAGGTTTAGTGATACAAATATTACTAATTAATCCATAGCTGGGGGGAGAAGAGGTGGATTCTTTCCTCAGGGTATTTATATAGAAGCAAATATAAACAAACCCAACTGGAACTGGAACTCAGCCCTCTAAATAACAATTCTGAGCAATTATGCATTATATCAACTACACATCCAAGCTTATAGCACCTGGTATTCCCAAGTGGCCACGCATCTTAGTATTGACAAGGCTCTACATTACTTAACTTCAGTGATCATATGGGAACCAGTGATGTGGCCATAAGCCTCCAAATATGAGTACTGAAATAAATAATGACAATATTGCATCTTGGGGCATCAGGCAACACTGAGAAGACCAAAGAATGCATCAACCAAAATGTCAGTTATGTACCATGTGTGATACACGCTTAGGCGAATCATGCATCTTTTGATATATGACTGAAAAGGCAGATTTTTCCATAGGTTGCCATTTCTTTCTGCATATTGCCATTATAGAACTCAGTTTGCCCTTCTATTTTTATCATAACTGGGGGAGAAGAAGATATTTATTTTTCCCAAGGGTTATTAGCAATTAAGGAATGCAATGGATTTTGGAATATCTCGGCTATTTATATATATACGGGTTAGTGGTGCATTGTTCAGAAATATTCTATATTATGGCGGTTATTTTTACCGGAAGTCGCTTTGTTTATTTGGGTCAAGTTATTTTTGGTTTTATTTTTTTTTATTTTTTTTTTTTTTTATTTTTTTTTTTTTTTTTTTTTTTTTTTTGTTTTTATTTTTTATTTATTTATTAACGTAGTAAAAATTTGTTTATATCACGTATTTAACAGTTTTGTTTTGGTTTGAGAATTTAATTAAAGCTATTTGTTCAATTTTGGGGTTGGTTGTTGTTTTTAGTTCATTCTAACTATTATTTTTTTTTTGTTTCTTATTTCATTTATTTATTTATTAACAGTTTTTTAATTTGGGATTGGTTTTGTTTATTTATTTACTTGGATGAATTTAGGTCAATTTATTTTTTTATTTTTTTTTTTTTTTTTCGGTTTTTAAGCAACATAGTATTTATTTATTTATTTTTTTATTTTTTTTTTATTTTTTTTTATTTTTTTTTTTTTTATTATTATTTATTTTTTTTTTTATTTTATTGTATTTTTTTTATTTTATTTTTTCCGTTTTTCATTTTTTAGGTTACGTAGTAAAAATTTATTTTCATGCCTGCATTTTGAGATGAGCTCGGATCTTTTATTTAATAATTTATTTTGGTCGGGGAAAGTAATGATAGCTATTTTTTTTCCTCCAAGCAAAGTTTGCAAGTTTTTGATTGGTTGTTGTAGGCTGATGACTTTTTCCTTATCTTCCAAGATATTTTTTGGTGTGATGTGCGTTTTGTTTTTTATTTCCCAGATATACTTAGAAAGCATAGTACTGTTCGCATATTTACTATTTGTGAAACGATGTTTTGTGTGTATAATTTCTTTGCTTCCAGGGTCCTTCAGTTACTCCTATGTATACTTTTTTTCATTATCTGGTGATTTTATCGTGGCTTGGTATATTACGTTGTTTTGTAGACAATTTCCGTTTAAGGGACATTCGTTCTTTATTCTGCAGTTGCACGTGGGTTTAATTTGTTCGTGTGGTTTGTTGATAATTTTCCTATTGTGCTTTTTTTATTATTTGTGCCATGCTCTCGGTGCAGCTGTAGCTGATTTTTACTGTATTTTTGTTGAATATCTTGTGTAAGGTGCTTGATTCTGGGAAGTGTTTGTGTAAGAGTTTGAAGAATATTTTTCCTACGTTTGTTTTTACGTTCTTGCTGTACGGTGGGTTGAACCATATGATATTTCTTCTCCTGTTGGTCTTTTTTTATTCTGTGGTGAGTATGTGAGTATTGCTGGGAATCCGCTATCTTTTAGGGCCGTTTCATAGTCTTTTTTAGCTTTGTTAAATAGGGATTCATTGGAGGAATTGTCGGAGAGCCTGCGGTTAATCGATTTTGGTATCTGTTTGATTATAGAAGGCGGATGGTTGGAAGATGTGTGTATGTAGAGTGGTTTATCGTTAGGTTTTCTGTATGGTTTATATGTGCCTTCTCTTAGGTTGAAGGTCACATCTAGGAAATCTACTTCGTTTAGGTTAGTTTTTTATATCTATGTCGAATCCGTTATTTTTAAAAAATCTTTATTATTGCTTTTCTAGTTTTGTCTGTGTTTTGTTTGTTACAGTTTCTTAAGATTATGAGGCCGTCGTCCCTGTAGAGTCCTGTGTCATTTTTTATCTATTATTTTGCTCAGTTCGTGTAGTAAGTAAATGCCTATGATTTCGCATGCCTCTGCACCGTCAAAGCTTCCCATTGTAGTGTCAAATATCCCATCTTTCTTTATCCATGCTTCTTCATTGTGGAATAATAATGATTTACGGGAGTGCTTAATGATGTTGATTTCGCTTGGTTTTATTATTATTTGTTCCTGAGCTAAGTCGATGGCCTTATCTAGCATACGTTCTGTTATAGATGGGTAAAATTCTTTTATGTCTAATTGTAGGAATTGGCAATTTTGTTTGTTATTTATGTTGTGGAACCAGTCAATAGTTGTTTTCGTATTTTTCCACTGGTTTACTCCTAATTTCTTCCTAAGTTCAGAATTAATTCTTTCTAGTATTGTTTTACTTATTTTACCTAGTTCGCTTTTTGGCTGGGTTTATGAGTCTGCATGCAGGATTAGTTTTGAAATTTTCTTTATGGTCTTTTAGTGTGATAAAAAGGCTCGTGCCTTGCTAATACAATTTATTCGGTCATCTAGGTCTAATTTTTTGGGCGATTGTTTTAGCTTCCTTATTGATATCGTGTTCTGTTGTTTGGGGTGCCTTTTTTTTATGTTTTGGTTATGTTGTTCTTGAGTAATTTATTGTGTGTAGGAGGGCTTAGTTTGTATAAATTTCTCGTTTTGTCAGCAGCGATAAAATACACTTGCTGAATTGTTTATTTTAGTTATATCTGCTTTTAGTTTTTTTTGAATGCATCTTGTTTTTTTATGGAATTTTATGTTTCTAACTAGGTCAGTTAAGTCTTTCTCGAAATCGTCTAATTCTTTTTTTTGTTGTGGGGGGGCATTTTTTTTTTTGAAGCCGTATTTTTCCTTCTTAAGTAAAGTGTGTTATTGAAGGTCCTGATTTAAAAAGTGGACTTTCCTCTCATTCTTTTTTTTGAAACTTTCTATTTTTTTCAATTAATTTTAGTTTATATATAGTAGGGGATGGGATGGGTATGTTTTTTAGGGAGTAGTCGAGGTTAAATTTTTCCATGTCCATACTGTGTTATAAATGTAAAGAGTGCTCTACTGTTTACCAGGAGCTGAATATAAAAAGAAATATAGTCTTAAGGTGTGCTATATTTATGGGATAAAGTGCTCAATATCAGAGATAGAGCGTGTGTAAATATAAAAGTGAACATAGAAGTCAACACTTAGAAACAGTCTGTTTCATATGCTATATGCAATCGTCAATACACGTTTAAATAGAAATAATTTATATATATACACCATACATGGTGCATTGTGGGTATTCTATTATGGCGGTTTTTTTGCATCCGCTTTTTCATTTATTTGGGTCAAACATATTGCAAAAATATTTATTTTTTTTATTTTATTTTATTTTTTTTTTTTTTTTTTTTTCTTATTTATTTATTTATTTAAACGGCAAGTTTAAAATTTAAAAATCATATTTAACAGTTTTTGGTTTGAGAATTTAATTAAAATATTTGTTCAATTTTAAAAAAAGACCTTGGCGGAAAAAATATTGGTTTATATTTTTGGATTTTAGGTCAATTTTTTATAACGTAAAAAAAAGTTTTATTTATTTTATTTACTTATTTAATTTTTTTTAATTATAAATTTTATTTTTTCGTTTTCATTTTTCAAGATATTAAATTAAATTTCAGTAAAAATTTTATTTTTAACTGCAATTTTTATTTAAAAAAAGTTTGCAAAAAATTTTAAATTAAATTTAATTTTGTGCACGAAAAAATTTAAACCCATATTTACAACTGCAGAATTTTGTATAAAATTTTGCGAATGTCCCTTTAAACGGAAATTGTCTTTTAAAATTCAACAACGTAAAATACCAAGCCAATTTTAAAATCACCAGATAATGAAGAAAAGTATATAAATTATTTATCCAAGGACCCTGTTTATTTAGAAATATATAACAATTTTTCACCACATCGTTCACAAATAGTAAATATGCCCTGGAACAGTACTATGCTTTCTAAGTATATCTGGGAAATAAAAACAAAACGCACATCACACCAAAAAAATATCTTGGAAGATAAGGAAAAGTCATCAGCCTAAACCAATCAAAAACTTGCAAACTTTTGCTTGGAGGAAAAAAAAGTATAGCTATCATTACTTTCCCCGACCAAAATAAATTATTAAATAAAAAATCCGAGCTCATCTCAAAATGCAGGCATGAAAATAAATTTTTACTACGTAACCTAAAAAAATGAAAAACGGAAAAATAAAATAAAAAAAAAAATAAATAATAAAAAAAAAAAAAATAAAATAAATAAAAAAAATAAATAAATAAATAAGTACTATGTTGCTTAAAAACCGAAAACCAAAAAGAAAAATATAAAAATAAATTGACCTAAATTCATCCAAGTAAATAAATAGGCAAACCAATCCCAAATTAAAAAACTGTTCCCGCCAAAAAATAATAGTTAGAATGAACTACAACAACCAACCCCAAAATTGAACAAATAGCTTTAATTAAATTCTCAAACCAAAACAAAACTGTTAAATACGTGATATAAACAAATTTTTACTACGTTAATAAATAAATAAATAAAATAAAAACAAAAAAAAAAATAAATAAAAAAAATAAAATAAAATAAAAAAAAATAAATAAAAACGAGCAATATAACTTGACCCAAATAAATGAACAAAGCGACTTCCGGTAAAAATAACCGCCATAATAGAATACCCACAATGCACCACTAACCCGTATATATATAAATAGCCGAGAAAAATAACAGCACATATGGCCTGACGATTGCATATAGCATGAAACAGACTGTCGCCTCTAAGTGTTGACTTCTATGTTCACTTTTATATTTACACACGCTCTATCTCTGATATTGAGCACTTTATCCCATAAATATAGCACACCTTAAGACTATATTATATATATATATATATATATATATTGATTTCATATGGGCACTTTCAACGTGGCATAATGGTTAGCAAGTTTGTCTCGCAAGATCAGTTACTTCTGAATA